GAGGCTGTGTTGGGCTTTCGTTTCCTCATTCTCTGGTGCACAGCAGCAAATGTTTGCCACTTGGAGGCGAAATCTCTGGATCACAATGTATATGATTGTCCAATTTTAAGACTTAGCAGCAAAGTGTTTTTGAATGAGGCTGTACCAGTTTACATCCCCACAGGGAACACATTAGGGATATTGTGGGTCCGAGTCCTCACTCACACTTGGTGCTGTTGGACTTATAAGGTTCTGCTAATTACGACCGAGGCTAAGTACCTTTTGTATTTGTCTGGACCATATTTTCTCCTCCCCACTATGGTGGGTCATGCCTTTTGTCCATCTTCCCGTTGTATTGTTAATCCTTTTCTTACCGATTTCTAGGAATTATTTATACATGTTTGACAACCAATCCTTTGGTGGCTATGGTTTGTAAATGTCTTCTTACTTACTTTCTTTTTTTTTTTGAGACAGAGTCTGGCTATGTTGCCCTCTGTAGAGTACAGTAGCATCACCGCTCACAGCAACCTCCAACTCTTGGGCTCAAGCGATTCTCTTGCCTCAGCCTCCCAAGTAGCTGGGACTACTGGCACCTGCCACCGTGCCCGGCTGTTTTGTTTCAGTTTTCATTGTTGTTTTTTTTAGCTGTCCTGGGCAGGGTTCAAACCCACCACCCTTGGTGTATGTGGCTGACAACTTAACCACTGTGCTACGGGCGCCGAGCCAATCTCTTCTCACTTTCTTTATGGTGGGTTCTGATGAACAAAAGCTCTCCGTTACAACATAGTCCAAATGCTCCATAGTTTTTCTTGTAACCACTACTCTTTGGATCTCATTTAAGAAATCCGTTATAACTTCAAAACCTCAAAGGTATCATATATATCTCCTACTAAAATTCTACTTATCTCTTCTTCCTTTAAAAAAATCAGGTGCAGGAGAGAAGGAAGCAATTTTGACCTCTGTTGAGGTTTTGCTAGTTGGTTTAGATTAGACTTGGTGTGAAGTTAGGTTTTCTGTGACTGGAAATACACCTTTGTGGTGCTCCTTGGGCTTTTATCATTTAAAAGGGTCACTCTGGGGGTGTTTCTGGGCAATACCTCATGTTGTGTGTGCAGCCTCAAAAATGTGGTGGGTCCCTCGTAATGGTCGTGGGTTCCCCAGCATTTCTAGGGCCCCTGGATGAGGCAGAAGGGGTTGTATTTGTGCCAGGTGGTTGTGCTGGTTCTTCTTAGCTCCAAGGGCAGCGGCACCGCTGTGCAGAGGCTGGGTGTCCAGTGGCTGTAGTTTCTCACGTGCTGGGTCATTCCTGGCGCTGTACCCGCACTGGGTGAATGGCAGAAGTGCTTGAGGGTAGCAGGCACACGGGGTCAAATGAGCCAAGCCCCTGCCACCTTTCATCCAGGACCAGAAGGGGATGCCCCCTTGAAATGCTGGCAAAATGAAGGCCCAATGCCACCCAAATGGGCAGGTGCCCACTGGAAGAAGCTGAAGCAAGAAGTGTCCCCCTGTCCGTCACGGCAGGAAGTCCCTTAGTTGCAAGCCTGGCAGCTTGCAGATGGCTCAGCACGTGTGTCCCACCCAAGGGAGGCTCGGAGCAGCTAGACGGAGCTCTCGTTTTCTGAGTATGAGCCGGAACTAGGAATGTGGGGTTGAGGCAGAGCTGAAACCCGGGGTTCTGCTGTGTCTGGCCACATGCTGCCTCTTGTCAAGCTCTGGAAATTCCTGTGCTTCCCCCAAGGCTATGCCCCGAAATGCTGGCTGCCCCCTGACAGGTAGGATGACAACATGATACTGTCAACCAGATTGCAACCCTTATCACCACTGTAGACGTGGGGACTCCACAGGGTCTGGGATGTGGCTCACCCCCGACTTGCCTGCCCACCCCTCGGCCTCACTGTCCTCTCCTGCCTTAGCCCAGCCTTTGGGTGGGCTGCAGTTTGAATCTCCCTCATTTTGGTGTTAATTGCTGTGCAGACCCACAGGTTCCAGTTCCTTCAAGCACAGGGGGTGGTCCTCGTGGGCTGGGACCAGGGCCCCTGAACTAAACTTAAATAAACCATCTTGTTCCTGATCCTAGCACACATCTGCCCTGGGCTGAAATCAAAATCTCTGGGAACAGGCAGTTTGGGCGTAAGTCCAACGCCACGTACCCCAGGTGAGCGGGGCGCACTCCCTCCTGGTCTGTGCGCATTTAATAAAATTTAATGCAGGCTTCTCCATCTTCATCCTTATTCTTGGGGTGCTGCCCAGGGACCCTAGAGGGCATGGCTGAGATACTGGCAATGTGCACTGTGGGTTTGCAAGGTGCCTTTGTATCCAGGGCCCCGAGCCAGCAGGGATGCTGCCAGTTGCCCCACGGGCCCCCAAGGCCAGGGAGATTTACTTCAGCCTCAGCTGATTTACTTTAGCTGTAGCCTCAGTCTGAGTCCCCTTTGCTTCTGCTGGGGATGGAGTAAAACTTTCACTTCTGGGAACTTGCCCAGCCTCATCTGCAACTTCCTTCCTGGAAGTGCTCTGGCCTCAGATGGCAGAGGCAGGGGCTCACTCTTCTGTGTTTGAGGGGCAAAGTGCACCTGCCTCCTCTCCCATGCCTGTCCGGCCGGGGCTGGGGCTTCTGGGCAGGGCCCTGATAGACGCACGTACACAGGGGGGTCTGGTTTTGAAGGGTACTGGCTCCCAGCCTGTCCCCTGGAATGATGTGGCACAACACTGGCCCGCCGGTCAGCTCCACTTAACCTGGTTTCTGGGAAGTGCCTTTTTCTTCTCAAGCTCCAAGGGCCAGTATTTAACAGGACATTAGCCTGCCGCAGTATTGAGTAAACTATAAAGGGAGAGGTTCCTTCTGGACAGAATCACCACCCTCTAGGCAAAATGATTACATTTGCAGCTTGATGGGTTGTGATCGATATAAATGGAATGTGAACCGACTTAACCGTCCACTCGGGGTTGTCCACATGTGCCACTTCTCACTCCTGGCATCTGAAACAGAACCGGTCAGGATAGGCTGGGTGATAACAAGCAGCTCCGGGGCTCCAGGGCTGATTTCCCACTGGGTGGCGGGTCCAGTAATGGCTAAAGGGAGGCCTTTCTTTGCAGCTTTTAGGACCCAGGCAGGCAAAGTGGTCACTGTTTTGAATTTCGTCAGTCATCACATTTAAGCACTGATTTTCTTTGTTTCTTTTTTCTTTTTCTTGAGACAGAGTCTCACTATGTTGCCCTTGGTAGAGTGCTGTGGTGTCACAGCTCACAGCAACCTCAAAGTCTTGGGCTTAAGCGATTCTCTTGCCTCAGCCTCCCAAGTAGCTGGGACTACAGGTGCCTGCCACAACGCCTGGCTCTTTTTTTGTGGCAGTTGTCACTGTTGTTTAGCTGGCCCGAATTGAGTTCCAACCCGCCAGTCCCGGTGTATATGGCCGGTGCCATAACCCCTGAGCTACGGGCGCTGAGCTTAGAGCACTGATTTTTAATCCCTGTGCCTTGGCACACTGGTGCCATGAAAGGATCTCAGGTGTGCTGTGAAAATTTGTAAAGATCATTAATTCTTTTCGAAAGAAGTTCAAAGCACAGTAAATCTATTCTTTTCTTTTTTTTTACTCTTTTTTGATCAACATAACTTAAGTGTGCCATTGAAGTTTAACTATAGGTTCAAGTGTGCCATGAGATGAAACAGGTTGGAAAACACTGCTTTAGAGGAAAGGAAGGCTTCCCAGGGCCTCGCATGAGCACTCAGACGCAGCGGCTGGAAGTGACACAATCTCCTCCTTGACACCTTGTCGGCCAGAGCTGTGGGCCTGCTCGGCACGTGTTGCCAGGAAGCGCGGTCCTGCCAGGTACCGGCCAGCAGAGAACGGAGGTATTTTGTGAGCAGCACCAGTGTGCCCTCACTTGTTTATACAGCAGGTATACAAATCGGGCTGCATTTTAAATAAAACCACAGGCTCTGGGCTATTTCATGGGAGCCTGCCATAGAATGAAGACTAATCGCCCCTGCCTGGGGCATGTCAATTCCTTAGGGTGTGTGAAAACTGCCCCAGACCCATCTATTTCCGAAGTTCAAGATGATCTTTCGAAGACGCACAGGAAAATGCTGTGGAATGCCCGTACTTTCTTTAAATTCCCTCTTCAAACCAGCAGTGAAGCTGACAACAGTGAATACCTGGTGTAGTCTCCAAGTGGGCAGGTACATTGCACGATTAATTTACACCCAGAGGGGAGAGGGGTTCTTGATTCATACAGCACCTCTTCCTAGCAACCTCCTTTCCTGCAGGGGCCTGGAGGCTTCTGCTCCTGTCTCCGCGAGGTTCCTTGTTGCTCAGGGGGGCTGGCCAAGTCCTCGTATCTGCTTAGTGTGGTCTCAGCCAGGTGTTCCAGGCTGACCGTTACTCTGGGTGATATCCAAACAAGAGCACGGGTTGTTCAGCGAATAGGAAGTGCAGGAGGTAGCACGGCTTAACATTCATACATGGCTGTAGAAAGTTTATCTCAAAGTTGTTTTTTATTCAACTGTTATTCATCAATATACAATACAGTTTATAAACAAGTGTCTGGCCTTGTTTCCGATCTTTATTTAAAAATAAATATTATTGACAGTGATTTTTAATTATGATATGATGTATCTTTGTTTTAATCAAAAAGTCTCAAAAGAAATAATTTAATTAAAATGCCCCCAAAGAAAAAAGTAAATGAAAAAAAAATTCCTAAACACAATAATCTACTAAAAATATTTCACTTTGTCAGAAAGGCGTCGACCTGACATTTTGGCATATTATCCGGAAGGTTACCGCTCGGCAGTTCGTGCAAAATGAAAACCGGAGGAAAAGTGGAAGAAAGAAGATTACATGGACAGGAGGAATCGAGGCTCCGTGCGTCCTGCACGGCCCCGACTCTGTCTTATTTGGAAACTAGATGCATTATTTTAGATGTTCTACGTTTGTGGAACTTCCCCAAAAATATGTTTTGTTTATTTTCCATGTGGACTTTGTCATGCTTCTTCAGTCTGTGAGTCCGTCTGGCGACACGGTGCCCTCTGGGTGGCGGCTGGTCCCTGCCTGTCAGTGCCCCACCAGCAGGTGCAGGAACTTATGCAGGGCTAACAGGAACAGGGACAGGAGAGGGTCTGTGGCGGAGCGGCTGGTGCCTGCAGGGATGAGAAGAGGGCAGAGTTAACACCTGACTGTGAGGCTCCAGACCTGGGTGGTGAGTTAACACTGTGAGGCTCTAGACCTGGGTGGTGAGTTAACACTGTGAGGCTCCAGACCTGGGTGGTGACACTTCCCCAGCCTGGGCCTCTCTGCCTGGGCCCAGCTGGAGGCTGGTGCATGTGGCTGCTTTGGGTTGATGGTGACACTCCGTTTCTGGTGTTTGTTATCTACAGACAGGACACCTTAGGGTCCCATCATGTTTCCCCGAAAATAAGACACTGTCTTATATTTATTTTTTCTTTCTTTTTTTTTTTTTTGAAACGGAGTCTCAAGCTGTCCCCCTGCATAGAGTGCTGTGGCATCACTCACAGCAATCTCCAACTCCTGGGCTCAAGCGAGTCTCCTGCCTCCGCCTCCCAAGTAGCTGGGACTACAGGCACCCGCCACAATGCCTGGCTATGCTTTTTTTTTTTGGTTGCAGCCGTCATTGTCATTTGGTGGGCCCAGGCTGGATTTGAACATGCCAGCTCAGGTGTATGTGGCTGGCGCCTTAGCCACTTCAGCCACAGGCGCTGAGCCTTTATTTTTTCTTAAGTAGACACACTAGGGCTTATTTTCAGGGGATGTCTTTTTCTCTGTGTTGAAATGCATGGCGTGGCATCACTAGGTCTTTTTATCAGGGTAGAGCTTATATTTAACAAATACATAGAAATCCTGATAGGGCTTATTTTTTGGGTAGGTCTTATTTTCGGGGAAATACGGTAGTACAGCCAGACGTGAAGGGCCCTGGGCTGAGTGGGCTTGCGCTACATGGTAGTTCTAAGGGCCAAACCATTACCTTATTTGAATAAAAAGACGATATGCTTCCCTTGCCTGGAAACGACGCTGTAAAGTATCCTCAGCATTTAGTGTCCAGTCTTCCCTTCTCCCCCATGAAATCACCACCGGTGTGTACAATTCTGTCCTGTGTCCCCTCCAGCCCCTGCCTAAACCACACAGTTTAGCACCCCACATGCCCTTATCTTTGGCATCCTGATGTTGCTGGAGGTGGGTGTGGTGTGTCTGAGGGTCTTCCAGGAAAGACCCATCTCTGTTCAGGTCACTCCCGCCTGCTTTTCCAATTCAGTCACTAACCTGGGCCCCTGGCCTGCCACTGAGATCATAAACACCTGTGCCTTCATCCTGCCTCACCTGGTCACCCACCAGGATCCCTGTCTGAAGTCAGGGTCTCCATCTGTTGCAAGGTCTCTGGTGCAACCGGAGAAAGCCCAGCCATGGGCCCCAGGCAAGTGAGATATTCACAGGGTTTGGAGAGGACCCAGTGTGGTGTGCCTCCCACACTCCATTGCCAACTGGCTTAGGTCACCCCATGAATGGACGCAGTGTCCAGCCTCACCCTGCTCACCGGTGCCTCCCTCCTCCCTGCCCCCGGCCCTGCCAGCTGGGCTGCAGGAGGCCTTTCCCCGTGACAATACCAGAGGGTACAGAGGGCTTGGCCACCTGTAGCAAGGAAGGCCAGTTCCTTCCAGCCTCAGTGAACACAGATTTGTGGTTTCCCTGACGAGTCTGGGCCTGGGTGCACAAATTCCCCTCTTTGTGGGTGGAAACGCCATGAGCCTTTCTGTCCAAGGCGGACCCCCTGCCATGCTCCCTAACTGTTCTTGCTCTGGTCATAACTGCCTGGGTCACAGAGTTCCTGTCCTGGGCTCTCATTTCCCCTGGTGGGGTAAATGACCCAGCTTGAACCTCCAGGATTCCATCTTTTCGTTTTGGGAAACATGAGCTGTGTTCATGCATTTGAATGAAAGCTGGCAGGAGTCTCATCCACAATCCGGAGTTCTGAGCCCCTGAGAAGTGCGAGGACAGGAAACTCCAAGTGTGCTAACCTTCCTCTTCAGATCTTAATTTTTCAGATGGTCATCCCTCCTGGCCCAGGGTGGGAGCTCGGCTCAGGGTGACACCCTGTCTCTGGCCACGGTCAGCAGGAAGAATCACAGGGTGGTGGTCACTCCAAAGGCTGGGGTCCCTCTTTGCTGCTCCTGGCTGTCACACATCTCTGGGAAGGATGAGGTCTGGAGGCAGTGATGGAATGGCTGATGGTGACCAGGTGGCCAGTGGAATTCACTGAGGCTCAGGCATGTGGGAAATGGTGGTTCAGAGCAGACCATTGTGCCCTGGGCACGCAGGGCTCAGCCTGTCAGACCAGGCCCATGGGCCTCCAAGATCTATCTGCAGACCCAGACACTCAGGCAGGAGCAGGTGAGACAGAAACAATCCACATGACATATTTAGAGGCAGGTACCCTCGTGCATAGAACTCCAGGCCCTCAGGTTGGCAGCCAAGGAGACATGGCTGATGGCTGGTGAGCCTGGCATGGCAACCCTGTCCTAGAGCAAGGAGAAATTTAAATTTGTTTTCAGGTACTGCCTGTGAGTCACTGCCATGCTTAGGGTCTCATCTACTCAAGAAAAGCTTAAAATTGCCCAAGATTTTTCTGAAGACCTAGAGTTGAAACAACCAGCTTGTAGGTCTGTGCTGGGCCCTGGTGGCAGGAGGCTGCAGCAGGGTCTCCTGAAGGTTGACGCCTGGGGAGGGCACAGACCGGGGTCTGTGGTGTCTGCTGGAGGGTGTCTGGGCAGGTGGACAGGTTTGGCTCCTGGCGGCAGGTCATTCTCTCCCTGGCCCAGCATTGCCACTAGGGTCTGGGCGAACTGTGAGAGGTGATATGGGGCAGTGGGCTGGCTCTGGGGAGGGGGGCTTCCAAGCCTAGTCTTGTTGCCAGCTGTGTTACCCTGGCAACACCCTTCACCTGTCTGGGTCCTGTGCGACCTTCACAGAATGGGCATGGCGTCATAAATCCAACATGTACACTGCATATTTCTCTGGTCTGGGGTCCAGATTTAGCAATATTATAGTGACTTATTGCCATGATGGCCGTAAGACCTCTACCCCACCCCAGCAGCTCTGTGACAGTGCCCTGTCCCCCATGCCCAACTCTGGGCTTGGCCACATGACTTGCTTTGGCCAAGGGAATGTCATGGGGGTGGCACAAACAAAGGCCTGAAAGGTACCTGTACATTGAGTCTAGGACTCTCTCCACAGCTCTTAGAACCCACAGTCACACACACAGGCCTGGGCCAGGCTGCTGCCTACTGAGATCTCCCCCTGGACGTCCCTTAGACCAGAGTTCTTCAACATTTTTTATTTCATCACACACTAGGACATAACGTTAAACTTCTGTGGCACACTTACATTATGTTGATCAAAAAAAAAGAGTAGAGAGGCCGAGTACTGTAGCTCACACCTGTAATCCCAGCACTCTGGGAGGCTGAGGCAGGTGGATTACTTGAGTTTAGGAATTCAAGACCAGCCTGAGCACGCTCGAGACACAGGGAGGCTGAGGCAAGAGGATTGCTTGTGCCCAGGAGTTTGAGGTTGCTGTGAGCTATGATACCACAGCACTCTGTCTCAAAAAAAGAAAAAAGAAAAAAGAAAGAGTAAAGAAAAGAATAGAGTTACTGAGCTTTGAGCTTCCTTTGAAATAACTTAATGAATGATCTTTAAAAATTTTTGCAGCACCCCAGTGTGTCACGGCACACTGGTTGAAAATCACTGGTCCAGACCAGCCCATTCCCAAGTGAAACAGCAGCTGACTATGGACACGTGGTGAATGAGCCCTGCAGAGACCAGCAGAAGGACTGCCCAGTGAGCCCAACCCAATTTTCTGAGCCACAGATTCATGAGCTAAATAAATGTCTGCAGTGTTACACTGAAGCCACTGAGTTCTGGGCGCCTTTGTTACACAGCAAAAGCTAACCCGTACACGCACATGAACAAAAGTGCCTCAGAGTCCAGTGCTGTGAACAAACACACACAGCTCCTGCTCTACAAGGGGCTGGAGAAGAATCCTTTTAGGTTGGTGGGTGTCCTTATCTCAAGAGGAAAATTTGCTGGCATGGCAAAATATCTCCTCTACCACCTATTTTAAGACTTTCCTAGAGAATCCTCAAAGAACTCAAATAGACCTTCCATTTGATCCTGTAATCCCAATACTAGGTATCTGCCCAGAAGAAAAAAAATCATTTTATCATAAGGACATTTGAACTAGATTTATTATCGCAGCTCAATTTATAATCGCCTAGATGTGGAATCAATCCAAGTGCCACCGACCCAGGAACAGATTGATGAACTGTGACATATGTACACCATGGAGTACTATTCAGCCATTAAAAAGGACTGGAGACTTTACATCTTTTGTGTTTACCTGGTTGGAGCTGGAGAACATTCTAATTAGTAAAGTATCACAAGAATGGAAAAGCAAGTATCCAAGGTACTCAGTACTAATATGAGGCCAGTAGATAAACAACTGCACACCCACAAGAGAAAAACTCAATTTAGTTCAAGTTGGGGGGAGCAGGAAAGGGGGAGGGAGGGTTGGGGGAGGGTATTGGGGCGCTCCCACCTAATGGGCACAATGTAAGGGTACACGGCCCATTTAGTGGGTGCAGGACACACCTACGACAGGGACTTTATCTAACAAATGCAAACAATGTAACCTAATCATTTATAGCCTCATATTAACCTAAAATAATATAACAAAAAAGATTGATTCTCCCTGAATCCTTGGTGAAAGAAAGACCTAGGATTTGGCACCCTACCTGACACTCGGACACACTCTCCTGGAAGACTGGTGTCCAGGCTGGCCCTGAGGCGGTGGGGTCTACCTACCAGCAATGGTTTCCAATCCAGGAATTTTGCAGCCCGAGTCCACCCCTCCCCCAGAGGATGGCTCCTTTTTTGGAGGGAGACTGCAGTTGGCTGTGGGGCCCCCTCAGCACCTGCTGCCCCAGTTCCAGGGAAGCCCAGACTGCCCACTGCTGTCGGAGATGACAGGTCTCTGCTCATCCTGACTACATGGGCAGAGGCCAGGAGGGAGGGCATATGTGGCTCTGCTGAGATGGAATCTCCTTCTCACCCATCTCACCCCCGTGGCCTG